TCTGCACATGTGCTACACTCCCAGGTGACGCCACCATTGCACGTGTGCTACACTCCCAGGTGACGCTCTGTACCAATGGCAGCATCGGATTTTGACAAACCACCCTTGCTTGTACACGAGCAAGTCTCTCTTACAGAATCCCACACTCACACTTTCGAGTTGGGTCCATAGGGGTCGCACAAAGATGGGGACAGACCACTGAAGTCTAGTAAACCAGAAGCAAACTTTATTCCAGGGAAAAAAAAATTAAAAAAAAACAACAAATCTTCATGGGGCACAAAAAGCTTATCAGCTGGCTGAGACTACAGCTAGAGTTCAGGCTTGTAAGGCTGTGGCAAAGAACAACTTATGAATCCCACTTTTTTATTGTAAGGATTAGGCATTAACAAAAGAATTTTTACAATCGCAAGGTAAAACTCAGATACAAATTACCCTTCTTTGCAATTCCCATTAATAGGTTTTTTTTTTTTCGGCTAAGCCAGTCATTTGTATTTAGCCCATTGCTTCTCTCTGGTACTTGCTGATCGTGTTTACAGATCAGCCTTGCACCCCCAATACTGCCACTTTTAAATAGCAGGGAAGGATGTGGGGCAAGGTAAAACAAAAGAGTCAAAAGTTATGTATCAAAATGATGATACATGCCATCATTTAAAAGTTAACTCAGCTCACATCAATTGCTGGTCATGAGTGGCCGGAGGGGTTATCTTACGGCTAATTCTCAGTTTGCAGGGCTGACCCTCAGTTTCTAGAAGGATGCTTCAATCTTGTAAACAGAGCAGCCAGTTGTAAAGCAAAGTAGCCTACTGTTAATAGTTAATCCATGAGCTGCTGACAGCCTGCTCTCATTCTCCTAGGCTTACAACTTTGTATTTCTTTATATATTTTTATTTTTGGAATTTACATTTCTATATTCTTATTCTTGGATTCTTCATTGAGTATCTTACTTTCTTCTGAGCTGGAGTACTTTTCTCTTAACTGTTAGGCTTATATTAAAATATCTTTATTAAAACCTCAACACTGGCCAGGTGGTGCCACACACCTTCAATCCCAGCACTCAGGAGGTAGAGGCAGGAGGATCTCTGTGAGTTTGAGACCGGCCTGATCTATAAAGTGGGTTTCAGGATAGCCTCCAAAGCTACACAGAGAAACCCTATCTCGAAAACAAAACCAAAACAACAACAACAACAAACAACTCTAGAGAGGGGCTGGGTGAATGTGAATATAGACAGGTGACCCGTACATTGGTGCAGGTAGGGAGTGGGGAAAGAGGTACTGGGCTGCAGGCCTGTGTGGACTGCATATCCAGTCTATAGGCATCTGGCCAAGCGGGAAGTGGAGGCGGAAGTATTTCTCCTAATCTATTGGCTCTGTTCTCGTGCCCTAGCCCAGACCTGCAGCTTCTGAGGACCGTTTCTGTTCACTTCAACCTGCTTCTGCCGATGTGAACAAAGACCCTGTCCCTGCAACAGGATCTTGGATCTGAGTCAGACATGTGGGGTGGCGTACGGGAGAAACTCAACCATGTATGTTGGAAGGTTTCAAACAGACAAGCTATAGTCCTTTCCACGTCTAAAGGATCCCTCTCATGTGTGGATAAGCAAAATGTTGTGTATTCATATGATGGGATCTTATTTAGTCCTGTTCTTTGTGGTGTGAGATGAGTTCCGAGTCGGTTTTTTTTTTTTTAAAAAAAAAAGGTTTATTTATTTATTTATTTATCATGTATTCAGTGTTCTGCCTGCACGTCTGCCTGTACCATAGAAGAGGGCACAAGACCTTATTACAAATGGTTGTGAGTCATCATGCAGGTGCTGGGAACTGAACTCAGGATCTCCAGAAGACCAGTTAGTGCTCTTAAACTCTGAGCCACCTCTCCAGTCCCCAGAGTTGAGTCTTAGCATATTAAGCTTTTTGATACTAAGCTATGTCCCCAGACTTTGTTGTGCTGTTTTTAATTGGGTGGCCGGAGATATGGGTAAGTAGTTAGGAGTGCTTGCTGTTCTTAAAGACGGTACCTACACACATCCACATAAATTAATTTTCTTGTTGTTTCTTTCAAGACAGGATTTCTCTGTGTAACAGCCCTAGCTGTCCTGGAACTTACTCTGTAGACCAGGGTGGCCTTGAACACACAGAGATTCCTTGCCTCTGCCTCCCCAGTGCTGGGATTAAAGGAGTGAGCCACCACTGCCCAGCTATAAATAATTTAAAAAATTTTTTTGAAACAGGGTTTCTTGTGTAGCTTTGGTGCTTGTCCTGGAATTAGCTCTTGTAAACCAGGTGGGCCTCAAACTCACAGCGATCTACCTGCCAGGTGCTGGAATTAAAGGCGTGTATCACCACTGCCTGACTATAAATAAATTTTTAACAAATAATTTTTATAGCAAATATTATAAATCTATAACATATTCTGTGTGTGTATGCACATGCCCGTAGGTCAGAGGACAGCTTGCACAAGTCAGTTCTTCTAACAAGTGTCACAATCAAAGACTGTCACACTTGGCAGCAAGTACCCTGACAAACTGAGCCATCTCAATCTTTTTTGTTTGTTTGGTTTTGCTTTTCTGTTGTTGTTGTTTTTGATGTGGTTTTTCAAGACAGGGTTTCTCTGTAGCTTTGGAGCCTGTCCTGGAACTAGCTCTGCAGACCAGGCCAGGCTTGAACTCACAGAGATCCACCGGCTTCAGCCTCCCTAGTGCTGGGGTTAAAGGCATGTGCCACCACCACCCGGCTTTGGTTTGGTTTTTCAAGACAGGGTTTCTCTGTGTAGTTTTGGACCCTGTCCTGGAACTAGCTCTGTAGACCAGGCCGGGCTTGAACACACAGAGATCCACCTGCCTCTGTCTCTGTAGTGCTGAGATTAAAGGCGTTCGCCACCACCGCCCAGCCCTTCTCACTGTTTTTTGAGACAGTGTCTCATGAAGCCCAAGCTGGCCTCAAACTCACTGCACAGCCAAGGTGAAGTCTTGACCTCCTGATCTTCCTGTATCCACCTCCCATGTACTAAGATTACAATTTTCAGTTTTACAATAAAAGGAAACCGGGCCATTGAAATGGCTCAGTGGATGAAGGCGCCTGTGGTCAAGCCTGATGTCTTGATTTTGATCCCCAGTCTCCACCTGGTGGAAAGAGAGCCAACTCCTGAAAGTTGCCCTCTGTCCTCTACATACAAACTGTGGCACTCAACCCCCCTCCCCACTAAATCACAACAAACAGTTTAAAGCAATATAAATAAATGTGACAATAAAACCGGACATGGTAGTACATACTTGTAATTCTAACATCCTAGAGTTGGACGCAGGACCATCATCTTTGACTACATAGTGAGTTTGAGACTAACCTGAGTTTGAGACTAACCTGGGCTACAAGAGATTCTGTCTTAAAAGGGCTTAAAAGTATATCTAAGGAATGAATCCAACTGGAAGGTGACATACACTATACAGGAAAGAAATAGAAGCGCAGCTCGTGTGACTGACACACTTAGCAAGATGAGGCACACAGGGCAAGAGCATGTGGCAGGATCAAGTTCAACAGCCATGGGGTAGAAGGTTGGAACCCAGTTCTGCATTAACTAGTAGATAGTCGTAGAAGCTAGGAGAAGGGTCTTGTCCATCCACGGATTTGGTGAAGTCAATAACAATTTCTGCTTCATGCATGCTTGCCTTTGTCTGCCACTGTCACCTCTTTCAAAGTCCAGTGAGGAAGGGAGAGTCTCTTGTCTGTCTGATCTACTTGCTTGTAAGAGCCATCCATCATGAGCTGGAGAGGAGGCTCGGTGGTTAAGAGCACTGGCTGCTCTTCCAGAGGTCCCGAGTTCAATTCCCAGCAACCACATTTGGTGGCTCACAACCATCTGTGATGTGATCTGATGCCCTCTCCCGGCATGCAGGCATATGTGCAGACAAAGCACGTAAAAGTAATACATAAATAAAATACACACAATAGACATTAATAAATAAAATAAAATAAAATAAGAGCCATTCATCATTCGAACTGAAACAACTTCTCATTACCTTGTAGGGGAAGATGAGGGAGAGTGGAGGGTGAAGTTAGAGAGATGGCAAAGAGGTTAAAAGCACAGGCTATTCTTCTAGAGGACCTAGATTCAATTCCCAGCACCCACATGGTCACAACAGTCTGTAACTACAGTCCTAAGTGATCCCACGCTATCTCCTGGCCTCCATGGGTATGGCTTGCACGCGGTGCACAGATTCACAAGCAGGCAAAACACTTATACACATTACAAAAAACAAACCCAAAACCTTCTTCCCGTTTCTGAGGTAGGAAAACGATGGCTGTAGTCTGTCCAATGAGGCTCTACAAGGAGCGCTTGACAGGTAGTATTCTCCTCCCTATTCACATGAGGGGAAATTGGCCAAAGAGTGGACGGTACCGGGTGAGCTTTAGTTCACCAGCTCAACTTTCCTTTAATCTAGTACTGGAGAGGGCGGGCGAAACTGCGACTGTTGTCAAGGAGACAGATCTTCCACTGATGATTGGGAGAGAATTCTGGCCAGGCCTCCTGGACCTCCTCTTCTGGCGCTCGAAGGTCTGGAAGGCCGAACTCCAAAGTGTGCCGCCTCCACCGGTTTCCACGACAACGATCCTACCTAGTCCTCCTGTCCCTCCCCGACACATCTGAGCATGCCTGAGGTCCGCCTGCGGGGCGTCTTGTTCTGAGGGCGGGGGAGCACCATGTGATATCTGGGAAATGTAGTTCAAAATCAGAAGCACTCCTTTTGCATCAGTGTGCCAATAGGGAGCGGGTTTGCTTAGTACATCTCGAGAAACGTAGTTTTTGTGCAGGCCGAGATGGCCGGCTCAGGTCCGAGAGTCGTCACAGTGAGGCCCAATGGGAAGCTGCTTTTGTCGCGATGCTTCTTGGGAGTTGTAGTTCACAGCTGGCCGAGGAGGAGCGGAGTTATTGGATAGAACCGGCGATTCCGAGTGTTGGGGTGAGGGGACGTAGGGACGGGGGAGGGACGGGTGAGCTTGGCGCAAAGCCTGCTGGGGCATGGAGTCCTGGTGAGCTTTGTGCGCATGTGCGACAAGGTGAGGGTGCTTTGGGGGCCTCGCCCTGGAGTGTGAGGTGAGCTAGGGGGAAAGGGAGGGAGGGACCTGGGGGGTGGTTCTGATGTACGGGGACAGACGGATCACGGGGAGGGGTACTTGGGTCTGTTGGAGGAAGAGAGGAAAGGATGGGTGGGCGGCTTCGGGGAGGGAGATGATAAAGAGTGTAGGGCGGGTTGGGGTGCTGGGGGCGGGCCGGGCAGCGGGAGGGACGCGAGGTGCAGACGCGGGAGAGTTGGAGGCCCGGGGAGGCTGGGCAGTGGGAAGGTGGTGGGATGCTCAGGGTGGAACCCTGGGATGGTTGGAAACTAAGCGTGGGGTGTAAGTCCAACCCTACTGTGGAAGCCTGGGTCGCCGGGATCTCTAACCTTTTCGAAAAGGATTGCGGGAAGGGGTTCGTTCAGGGGCACCGTGCCATAGCAGCGTAGATGGGTGGCAAGTGGCTCGCACTGTGCGCTAATCGCAAATTCACGTGCACTTCTGTCGAGTTGAGATTCTGCAGGATAAGAACCTGTTCTGTGCATTTCTTTATTAAAAGAGCACCCGCTTCGTTAGCTTGTCGCAAGAGGCGAAAATCGTGAATGTGCAGAAGGGGCTTGGAGACTGATTTTAACCGGATAAGATGGACTTACTCTTTTGGTTTTGATCCTTCTGCTTAGCCTCCCAAGTGCTGAGATTACAAGCGTTGTAATTACAAGATTACAAAACCAGCTTTTTTGTTTTGTTTTGTTTCAGGCAGGGTCTCGTGTAGCCCAGGATAATCACACTCATTGTGTAGCCAAGCTAAGCCTTGAACCCCTACTTTCTGTCTTCACACCCCGAGGACGTGATGGAATAAAAAGAAATGCACCACAACACTCGTCTTCACCCCCTTTTAACACCTGTTCCAATTTATATTTTAGTCTTGGGCACTTGTTTCACAGTGTGGCTTTTCCTAACCCCTCACAAGGAACTTGAGGGTAAACTTGCAGTAGGAGTAAATGCAAACTTGAGTACCTAGATGGAATTTATGAGTTTGTTTGTTGTCAGGTGCTGTTCTGGGTCCTTTTTTAAAAAATGATTTTTATTTTACGTGCATTGGTGGTTTGCCGGCATATATGTCCGTTGAATTCCCTGGAACTGCAGTTACAGACAGTCGTGAACTGTCATGCTGGTGCTGGGAATTGAACCTGGTTACTCTGAAAGACCAGCCAGTGCTGTTTTTTTATTTTTATTTTATTTTCGAGACAGCGTTTCCTGGCTGTCATGGAACTTATTCTGTAAACCAGATTGGCTTCGAACTCACACGCAAATCTGCCAGCCTTCATCTTCTGAGTGCTGGGATTAAAGGTGTGGGCCACCACTTGCCTGGCTGCAGCCAGTGCTCTTAACCACTGAGCCTCTCTCCAGCACTGTTCTGAGTACTTTTGTGCTCTTTATTTTACTTGACTCTCTCCAAATGGGGGCTTGTTGCTCCCATTTTACAGCCAAAGAAATGGAGATAACCTGTGAAAGGTGCGAGTGTTCTTTGCCCAAGGATGAAGGTGGCCGGAATTTGCCCCAATTCAGCAGCTCTTGTTCTCCGAGTAAATATTTGGTGTGTTGTACCCAGTGCAGATTCCTGGCCCCTTGAAGGACAGTTGAGTGTCGGGGAGTGAGGGGGAAGAAGGGGACACTGAAAGTTATACACTTCATAGAATACAAGTAAAAACCCATTGGGTGGTGGTAGCGCACGCCTTTAATCCCAGCACTACGGTGGCAGAGTCAGGCAGATCTCTGTGCCTTTGAGGCCAACCTGGTCTTCTAGGACAGTCAGAGCTGCTACACAGAGAAACTCTGTTCAAAAAAAAAAAAGGTAAAAAGCAAACCAAACGGATGGTAGAGGGACGGCTCAATGGTAAAGGTGCAAGCTGAGGGCCGCAGGTGCGGTCAGTCCTCAAGGAAAGGTTGAACACGGGACCCCTCAGTGCCACACCTCCCTGACTTTAGTTCAGCAGGCTTCAGTTCAGCAGGAGACTTTTAAAGATAGGGTAAACATGCCCAACTTCCACCTCAGGCCTCCACAGGCAATTTGCAAGGGGTGTGTGAGCACCCCCCCCCCCTCCAAAATACCAACAGCTGGGAGAAATCAGAGATAACAAAAAGCAGAAAACAATGGTCAGAGGTTATTGAAGGGAGACACACAACTCCCCTCCTCCCATAGTGGACCTTGGGCAAGAAGTTAGCCGCTGGTCCGTGTGGTCAACCATGAGGGAATCGTTAACCTTTGCTGTGTTCACTCTAACCAGCTTGTTGCCCTCCGCAGCCTGGGACCAGCGTCACTGGTTTACTTTTTAGTTTCTAAGCTCCCTGTGGAGAAGGAACAGCTCACTGCTCAGCTCACTGTCCCTGCTTTTCCTGTGGGGCCGGTTTCGAGACCCCCTCCCCCCATCACTTTGGCTCTAGCCCTGCAATCAGTTATGAGGGAGCAGTCTGTGATCTTTATCGCCCACTTGAGTTTATTTTTGAAGCTCCAGGCAGCTTGGAAGTTTTCCCTGTTAACCTTTGACTTAGACCAACTTTTGAGTTTTGTACACACATACCTCCCCCCCCCCCCCCCCCCCAGGGCTCAGCGGGGGGGGTCTGCAGGCT